GTAAACTATCCCACAAATTGTTTGGATGATACCCCGAGCACGTCGTTAAGCTCTTCCTTTCGGCATATTTAACTAATTCCACATGGGATTTTTTAAGATATACTGCAGACGTCAGGGAAGTCTAGAGAATTTCTAGCTTCCAAAATCTAAAGATATGTACGAAAGTGTAGAGATCTTTTGGAAAGTTAAATGAACATTTGGAAAGTTGCGGAAAGTCTAGACTAGTCTAGAAGTTCAGGAAAACTTCTAGAGCTTATGGAAAACATCGATTACTTCAGGAATCTCTCTGAATATTTTACAGAATCCTTCCTGAGTCCTTTGTACTCCTTTCCCGATTGTTATTTATGTACAGTTAGGAATCCTTATTGATGGATTCCTTATTGCCGGCTATCCGTGAATAAGGATACCGACAGCTTATGGGATTTTCTGTGGTGGATTATGTCATTTGTTTCATTATATGAAGCTTTATTGTTTTCGACAAAGTTGTTGTACTGGGATAGACCAACAAACCAATGTCATTGGATTTAGGTATAATTGGAACTACGCCCTTAGAGGCGCTTCACTTTTATGTTCCTTATGATGGGCGCTTGGGTCCAACATAGAATATTTCGTGACCCTGGCCATACAGAAAGTTGCTGTCTTCAGCAAAGTTGTTCAAGTGGCCAATTCCTTTTGGATGGTGGCCATATTAGTTCAGAATTCTCTCACTACGCAGCGCTAGTGTGCATGTGAACTTCCTATATAAACTGTATCTCGAGAGCCTGACCATATAGAAAGTTGCTGTCTTCAGCAAAGTTGTTCAGTTAATCATGTCCTTTTGGATGGTTGTCATATTAGTTCAATATTCTCTCACTACGCAGCGCTAGTGTGCACATGAACTTCCATAATATGAAATGTCTCAAAAGCTTGTCCATATAAGATGTTGCTGTGCAATGTGAGAACAAGAACCGGAAAAAAGGATGACTTCTCAAGTAACCGTAGGCACGTTATTTCGGCTTTTTGGCTATATACAGCTAAACAACGGCTATACCAGTGTTTGTAATTTCTGATGAGGCTCGAATACAGCCAAAAAGGCGAAATAACGTGCCTATGGTTACTTGGGGTGTAGAAGCCGGAAATCGATTTCGGACGCCATTGTAAAATCTAAGACGGCGGTCGACGGTTCCATAAAAAATGTCGAATACCCTACAATATGAGTATTTGTGGATAGGGGATGACGTGTAGAGGTCGGAAATCGATTCCAGATGCCATTTAAATTCCAATATGACGGCCATCAGTTCAAGAGAAATGGTCAAATACCCTTAAATATGGGTATTTCCGACAAGGGGACGACGTGTAGAGGGCGGAAATCGATTCCAGATGCCATTTTAGAATCCGAGATTGTGGCCATCGCTTCAAGAAAAACTGTCAATTACCCAAAGGGTAAGTCACTCAGCACAGTGTGCCGAAAGTAGATTCTGCACAGCTTAGGCACATCCTTCGGCACACTTTCGGCACAATCTCGTAGGCATTGGATTGCTCATTAAATAAATGGGAGCACTGCTGGACAGCTGTCAATGAAGTTCTTCACAACATTACGTGCTGTTTGACTGTGTATTTCAGAAACACACTCTAATTGAATATAATAGAGGAACTTAGACCAGAAATTCACTTGTCGGTTCACATTTGAATTCGAAATATTGGCTTCCGAGGGTTGTCGATTGCTATTGATGTCGGTCAGAAGTCTTTTAGCTATTACTCAAATCGAGTGTACTGCGAACCGGAATACAGGGATAATTTGGATGGATTGGATCATTCAGTGGTGGCGGTTGGATACGGACAACTCATAGGAGAAGATTACTAATAAAGAACTCTTGGTCCAACTACTAGGACAGCGATGGATATGCTTCAATGACGGTGAAGGGTATCAACTGTGGCCTTACCACCGATGCGACGTATGTAAATTTGAAGTGAGATTTCGGTTTAAATTAGAATTAAGTAAAAGAGTAGTTTTATGTTCGGATATGTGTCATCTTATACGAGATAAAATAAATGGCTTTCGATTTTTGTAACAACCTTTCTAACATACAATTTTTAAACCGATTTTCACTTGTTGAGGTACTACGATCGAATTCTTCCGGAACTCCAATCCGATGATAAAACCAAACGTCTTAGCTTGGGATCCTTCTTCTTGACATAAACCATTCCGACGTCGAATACCTCCGAGTGCTTCTTGCCCGGAATCATCACCTTCAGCAGTTTCTCTTCCAGATTGAGCAGAAAGGTGTAGTGCTTCTGAATCGTTTCCGTCTTATGGACCAGCAACGTTCGGACGAGTTTGGAGTAGTAGGACTTGTAACGCGCACCCAGAGCACAGATGATCGATCCAAAGTGCAGATAGTTCTTGTCGCTGAAGGCACTGAATTTCAAGCTGATATTACCACCCGACTGGATAATCGCCGGGTAGCACATGTTCAACTAGTTGGTACCACACCGGAGACCTATGTACTTTTTGTCCGTCAGAGCCTGCTCGACACCCTCCGACAGTTTGGCATGTTTTACTTTCTTATCAGCATCCATAATCTCCATGATGTGATCCTTGAGGTACTTGTTGAATACGTCTACCATCTGATGCTGATAACCTCGGAGTCCTCCTTGGAGCACATGATGTACGCAATTGGGACGCTGATGTTCACCGAGTTGAAGCTCTTGTACTTGATGAAGGCTCGCCACGATTCACAGAATTCACCCGAGAAGTTTTGCTTGGAGAAGACGCCCAACGTTTTTACATCCTTGGATCTCTTAATCGCCTCCAGCAGCTTTTCAAAATTGGCCTTGTCTTTGTCGTTCTTTTCCTGAACCAACAGCTTCCCCGACGAAAAGCCCTCCACACCGTCCTTCTCGATCTGCTTCAGGAAATCGACCTTCTTCTTGCTGGTCGGGAAAAAGATTGACTTTTCGCATAGCACTGTAATCGTATCGGTCAGCTCGTATCCCAGCAGCCGAGCAGTTTAAACACTTCTTGATGTTGAACTGCTTCCATGTATCCGCTAGTGAAAGGCTGTTTCCAGAATAAAACTGCAGCTTCTCTTGACATAGTTCAGCTTGAAATTCCTGATGATGCCTTGATCTTGGGGTTGACTCAAAGTCGTGGTCTCTGGTGGCATGTATAAAAACTTGATTTTGGGATTGCTTATGGTGGGCGGATGCAACGGAGCCTTTTCAAGGAGCAGCAAAGCCTTGAAGCTAATGTTCTTGGCTGCGCAGAACTCCTCCAACTGTGGTGAGCATTAGTTGTTTATCCAGTCCTCAAATAATTCTCGGTCATCCAAACTTTCTTTTTGCTACGATAATGCACATGGAGATTCGCTTTCTGTAAATGTTTAATGATTCTTGGTTTCCGACATTGTTGATAACCAACGGCTCAGATGCTTTGAGACATAGGATCAGTGAGGCGTTTTTTGTAAAACAGTTTTGTCTTATCACAGTTGAACGTCCAAACAATACTGAACACTTTCAATTTCATTTATGACCAACGGCCAAATGGCATCGGTTTCCGGCCTCTACACGTCGTTCCTTTTCCGGAAATATCCATATTGTAGGGTATTTGACAGTTTTTCTTGAATTGATGGTCGCCATTTTTGATTACAAAATGGCACCGGGCATCAAATTTTAAGATCCACTCGTCAACCTCGTTTTGAAAATACCCATATTGTTGGGTATTCGAAAGTATTTCTAAAACAGATGGCCGCCATCATGGATTCCAAGATGGCGTATAGCATGGAGATTCAGCATATACACGTTCTAAACCTGAATTCAATGGTACAGCCTTGTTGGCCTAACGCAGTAGAACAATTTTGTCCAAGACAAGCTTTATGTATTGAATCAAATGAGATAATCCACCACAGACCATAGGGTAAGTCGGTCAGCACATTGTGCCGAAATTAGATTCGGCACAGCTTGTGCACATCCAGCACACCTTCGGCATATCTTCGGCACATCTTTGGCACAATATCGTAGGCATTGGATTGTTGTAAATAAAATGGGAGCACTGCTGGACAACTGTCATTGAAGTTGTTCACAACATTGCGTGCTGTATGACTGGTTATTCAGGAACATCGTCTTATTAAATATACCAGAGGAACTCAGACCAACAGGTCACTTATAGATCTAAATACGAAATGTAGGTTCTAGAGTCGGCCCAAGAGAAAGAAGCAGCTAATCAACCCCTAATTTAAATAATGCTGCAACTCACACAAAACAAACTAAAGCAGTCTATTCATCATTCGCTATAGTCGGTCTCCAACAATGCTCCCCACCGGTTCCAACTCTTTCCGGTCGCTGATAGACCGATGTTTTTCACATAATGAAAGGCTAGGTTTCTGATCTTGCTTTTGAGGGCATTATAAAACACTAAAACACAGGACTTTTATTACCCTATGGAACACAAAACACCAACATTTCGCACACCACTTCCCGCGTTATCCTCAATCCGATTTATCCTTGCGATTTCAAACCAAAACATTCAAGTTGTCGGGATGGGTATTTTACAAACAATCGCGGCTTGCTCTATGACCGGCACAATCGGCCCACCTGTGGCACACTTGCGGCACACTGACAAAAAAGATGACCCAAGATTGGTGTGCAGAGGGACCTACTCCTTAGTGAAAATCCCATAAATATACCATAACAACACTGGTAGAAGTGTCAAAATGGTCTAGAATCTTGGGAACACCAAAAGCCTGTCCTAAATGATTCCGATTGATTAATAAAAAAAAAGTTCGTTGTCATGGCTTTAAACTAAAAATAATAAATAAAATTTAAATCTAAAATACCGACCCACCTACGGTCAGCTACCCACAATTGGATCGCGACCCGTAGCTTGAAAAACGCTGTTACAAAACGAATGACAAATCGGTGACATTCATACAATTATTGAAAACGAATGCAAAATATAGATCCTGCGCTGAATATGCACTACTCACCACCAAACAATTTCCACCTCTCCGTACCCCCAACAGGTCTGATTCGCAGCAAATCCCGCATCGATTACGAACAGACACCGACCATCCAGTTCAACGTCACCGTGGTGGACACCGGAATCCCGCAGCTGACCTCCACCGCCGAGATAACGGTCGACATCATCAACACCAACGACAACGATCCGGCCTTCGACGAGCCGGAGTACGAAATGTCCGTGGTGGAGAACGCACTCATCGGAACGGTTGTGGGTTCCGTATCGGCGCGGGATGCTGACTCGGGACCATACGGACAAATCACCTACTCCCTGGTCGGTGACCAGAGTGCAAGCTTTGCCATCGATCCGGACACCGGTGTCATTACGGTGCGGAACAGCACGGCCCTGGACCGCGAACGGACGACAGAAATCGGCCTGACAGCCATTGCCACGGATCGGGCACCGGATGGGACCAGCCACTCGACCACCGCCCCCGTCACCATCAAACTGCTCGACGAGAACGACAATGTGCCGACCTTCTCGCAGAAGATTTATCACGCCACGGTAGCGGAAAATGCGGCACTCAATCCACCGGCAGCAATCTTGCAGGTAATTTGTTTTTGTCCAGTTGTGGCCCGGGTTTTTCGGGGCCCGGTTGTCCGTGCCAGGCCCGCGTATGGCACGGACAGTGATAGAAAATTAATTTATAATTGAACAATAACAAATGGCCACTGCACTCTCTCTCTCTCTATTTTCAACAGGTCAGCGCCACCGATCCGGACGAGGGTGCGGCAGGAGACGTGAAATATAGCATCATCGGTAGCGATATTGAAAACACCTTCCGGCTGGATGCAAACTCCGGTATCCTGTATCCGGGTGCGAGCCTGCTGGGACTGAACGGTGAGAGTTTGATGGCTTTTAGGTTCCCGAGTGCATGCAGCGGGTGTTTGGTTTAGGATTGTGTGCGCATGAGTGATTTCGATATAATATACCGACAGGCAGCCAGAATTTCGATGAAAGTTGATTTTGAATTACCCCGTGGCTGATTTTCCCGTGCGATCCAATTGGTTGGAAAATTGATAAATTTGATTTTTAGCTGCACTTTGAGTTCAATTATCTCCGTACTTTCCAGTCAGTTGAAGTCGAATGTGTGCTGCACGGAAGGACAAAGGCTCATATTTAGTTTGTGAACTGTTTATTTATTGATCAGTAGCAGAAATAATTTCAAGCCCTACCTAAACCGATATCCTTTTTATCACTGCAGGTAACTACCGCATCGACATCGAAGCCCGCGACGGGTTGGGATCCGGTCCGCACAGCGATCGAGCTGAAATTAGAATCGAAATACAGAGCATCAACCAGCACCGTCCGATTTTCATCATGCCGGCCCTTTCGAACGCCACGGTGGAAATTCCAGAGGTAATGTTCCGCGTTTTCCCATCCATCGATGATTCCGAGCTGGTTGGGGAATTTCTTCGAGCTTGGAATCGCTATTAATAGAAATGGAGGTATTTGCAAACGAGGGAGAGACGCACGAATGCTGTGTTTGTAACAGCTCCATTATCGCCATCCATTCCTTTGGGTGGGGTAGAAACGGTTCATTCCATAACATCAACGACCAACCAGCCTTGAGGTGGTGCCATTCATTCGAGTCCAAAATTAAAAGCACCGGCACCTAAATCGTACGCCGACTCGGTGTGGGCTCGGACCGGGCGCGGACCCGACATCAGTGACAACTGCTTCAATTGAGTTTTTCATTAAAATTCTATTGGGAAATGGCAGGCGGCTCATTTTCTCGTGTATTGGAATGGACGTCCCCCGGTGCACTATTAACAGAAGCTTCAAAAGCAGCACTTTTGATCAAATGGTATGCTCGTCATGCATACTTCTACATAAAGGCGAAAGCAACCGGAAGACGGATGGCAAATATCTGTTGGTTCGCGGGACAAACAAATTTAGTCCATTTCCTTCAGGGTTCAATTGTTTTGCTCGCCGCAGCGTGTTTGGATCCTGCAGGGGGGACAAGCTAATAAGCATATTCAGAGGGCAGAGTCTTAGAAAGTTAGATACAGGTGGTCTGACTTGGCTATCCGCAGCCCTCTTATTGTTTAAACAATGTGTACAGTATACATTAGGGTGGGTCAAGTTTAAATGACGGATCACAACCCCGGCTCCCCTTAGCTCTTTCGATTTGTATTGAGGTCCCCAGCAACTGTGCCCAATTAGAACGAATTCGTAACGTAATTACATAAAAAGCAAGATGGATACCATTTTGTACAAAAAATTTCATTACGACCGGTTTTGTGTACATCGATCCGGAAAGCAAGCTTCTCTTACACAGACATCAACATCAAAGTATCAATGAACGGCTTTTTCGAAAAGGGTGAAGTGCATCGTATTCTATGCAACATGACAAGATATTTTTACAATGTATGGGACTTGAATCATTCGGTCTAATGTCCCATCTATTTAGGAAACCGAATCGGAGTCAAATGAATTTAATCTTATGCCGTTTTAGTTTGATGAACCAGGTTCGAAACTGGGTTAGTTTTTCTTTTCTTCAAAATATCACTCTCGCGGTGAACTGAAATGTTGTATAAATGTGTATGTGTGACTTGATATAGAAAAGTCAAAAAGGCAATGACAGCTAGCTGCCAAGATTGCTCAAAAGCAGTTTTCAGTTTAAACATGCTCTAGGCATTTCCTTGTTTGCTGCTGATTGAGTCCGCTGCCATTATTTATTTTCAAAAATTTATTTGAATGCACGCAAATGGATACCATCAACTTAGAGCAAATTTATGACCATGCAGGAGACATAATCCAACAGGTTGATTACATATGCTTGAGGAATATGGACAGTAAGTAGCAGGATCACTATTGACATCGCATATTTCATCTTTGCTCAACATTGCAAGCAGTTTAACAAAACCGCTTTTGTTTCGAACCACATTTAAAAATTGACAATACTTGCGGTGATTTGGGATATTCATAAAACCATTTTCTGGCCACCTAGTGACAGAATCGGTCTAAGGATTGCATGTTATAGCTATGCTCAAGATTCTATGCAATTTAGAAAAAACGAGTATTTCTAGGACGACTTTCAATAATTGACCGTTTTCCCGGTAATTCCGGATATCTGGGGATCCGTTTTCCGGCCACCCAGTAACAGAATCGGTAGATTTCATCTAAACTCAATATTCTATGCAAATTACAAAAAATCTCCTCTAGGCTGTCTTTCAAGAATTGATCGTACACGGTACCGTCTGTCCAACTACAAGTGCGATCGATTCTCTATCTGTTTTGCTGAAAAGCCTATGTTATTTTAAAATAGGGCTCAATTTTAAAATTTGATGGACGCATTGCCGAGAACCAGCCATGCCAACATGAATCGATGCTCAGGAGTCAAGGGGTGGTTTTCCGATCCTTTTGGCCAAGTGCAGGTCCAATCAGGTAACTTTCTACTTCATTTGAAAGTAGATTCCTATATCTATCAAATGGTGGCTAAATTACAAAAATCGATCATCACAAAGCCATGAACCAACCATGCCACCATGAATCGATACGCTGTTTGCAGTCTCTGGGTTCTGACTTTTAACGGATGTTCCGGATTTTCTATAAGACCAGCGTGAGGCCATGGATGGTTCAAATAATATTTCCACATCGTATATAGCTATTCAAGTAAAGTAAAACGACATTTGAAAAAAAAACAAGAAGGGACAGCCCTGTGGGGTTGTACGCAATGGTGACGTAGAACTACATGGTCTTATATAATAAATCTTATTTGTTAACTGCAGCAGGAGCCTGTGTTTTGTGCAGGAATAGGAATTTGTGTGGGGTTCTCTCTGTTTATACTCTTTATTATGACGCGCTTCGCATAGATGGCCCACAGCAACACACGAAGAGCTACTGATTCCGATCAATAGCGGTGCGGCTTCTTCCTCTTTCTATGGATGCTCATGTGGGCTGCAGCTCGCTGCTTGTAGGCAGCCTTCCGATGTGTACTGGAGAACTATGTTCAACACCACACGCCGAAAGCACTGATGCTGCTGCTGATGCCGACGACCGGACACCACCACACACGGTGATTACGGTTAACGGTTAAACCTTTCATTGTGTGCTGGAGAATACCACCACTCACCACGGTGGTTGAATAATCACCGTTTGGTGAAACAGGATGGAATTCAACTTTGAAATCTGGGGGAAATCGCTTTTCGCAGGCAATCGGTGATAATTTTAATTATCATAGCAACAGTTGCACATTCGTGCAATTTTCAATAGTGAAAAATGATAAAGTCTTAAGCTTAACAGATGCGTAGGAATATTTCTGATCGATTGGTGATAAAATTATTGAAATTGGGCCAGGGACCGCTGAGTTATTAACGTTTAAAATCTTTCATAATATTGTTACATGTTCCATTTTCGGTTTTCACAAAGTGTACCACAATAAAGAAAACACAGACGTAGTCCTACGTCAAAAAATCGCGAAGGTTTAGAATGATTTTCAAGATTGGACAATTGTTACGGGTGTTCTGGATCTTCTGGGGACTACTTGTCCTGGAGTACTCGATGTCTCATATGACTTATATGACATATGGTGCGGCAACATATTTTCAAAACAATTTCTTCGCAGAACAGCTGGTTTCCATTCTCCTGAACTCACTCCGGATTGTAGTTGATTCCGTGCGGTCATGATGACCAAATGTCATTCTAACCGCTTAAATGGCAAAAAGAGGTTTGTGCAGTTACTATAGATGTCTCGCACTCCCCTTGCTGCAGTAAGATTAAAAATCTCATTCAAACTGTGAATTTTATAGCAGAAACAATATTGGGCCTTAAAAGACCCAGAAGCCGGGCATGTGTGTATGTATTTACAATCTAGCTCCCACTGACTGGCAGTGGCATTATGAATCCTCCTGCAAGAAGCTTAAATCCGGGAGATAGAAGGCGACAGCTCTATCGCAACTCCAAAAACACAAGAACACAAGCATTCCGAAGCTATTTTCGTATACGATAAGCCCCGCTCCAATGCATTTCAATGTGCGGGAATGATTATTAATGTACTGGAAGTTTCAATCTAGCTGTGTTGCTTGATTGACGCGTATTAAATGAGTTGGAAATGTTTGTAGTATCACTAGTACTAGTACTATTATTCGGAAATTAAGTATGAAAATAATATAAAGGAAAAGTTGAACGAACTCACCAAATCTGACCAAGTGAACCCAACAAGCTGACCTGATGTGTTAGAGGAGAAGTCGCAATTGTAGACGGTTCGCTTCACGGGGTAATCCGGTTTGTGGTAGAGCTTGCACGGAATGTCGACACAATTCGCACACTGTGGTACTCGATTAAGGAAATTCAAGTATCCGTTCGTCACCTATATCACTCTAATGTTAAAAACAAAATCCGGAACAACGCAAAATCCAAAAATTTGACGCGTGGAAATTTTTCGCTTCCATCTACCGACCCAGAAGCCGGGCGTGTGACTTTTTTTTATTCTGAGACACTGTACGTGCTCCAAAACTCTTGAAACTTTACCAGAAGTTAGGAAAAGTCACCAAATTTCAAGATCATCGAGCTTTTGGCTTCAGAGATTCAGTCATTTGAATCGCACGTTTGGGCCGAAAAAGACCCGAATACCATCGCAAAGTAAAAATTGATATAGAAGTTCAATTCAATTCAATATTTTCTGACTGACTTTGTCGTCTACCTTTTTGAAATTTCACCCATACTTTAAGTTTTGAATGTATGCGTAAAACTGATGAACCTCGAACAAAATTCAGTTTCGAACCTAGTCGTTTTTCATGTTGCTTGGTGGCGAACCTAGGATCGTAACTGGCGTTCAAACTATCAGTTTGACAGCTCTTAGGTTGCAACCCGGATGAGGGTTCGCTTCAAACTAAAACGGCATTAGACGCTTAACTACCTCATCAGAAATGTGAAAATAGTTGCAAATCTTTTCAGTGTGGCTTCTGAAAACATGCATCCAAAGATGTATAGGTAATGCCAAAGATGCCTAGTATTGATATACCTAACCATGAAGACTGTAGATTGAAGGTTGAGATCGAACTACATACCCAGACCCTCAAGAAACGGTCCTCCGGAAGATCTGAAACATCTATAAAGGTTGTCAATTCGTATAAAAGATCCATAGCAAAGGTAAGCGTGACTGCTTTCTCACCCCAATGGGTCTGGGTTCAATCCCAGCCGAGGTCATAAATATCTCTGGTCACGTCTTTCCTACCCAGGTGTGTGGAAGCTGCCTTCTTGCACATTCGATTGCCGTCAATGGATGGCAATCGATGTCCGTCGGTGATTGGCACTAGAGCGACCGACGCTAAATAAACGAAAGAAGAAAAGGAAAAATTGGTGGAACATTTAAGAAGATTTATGGGTAAGTTACGTAAACTTCGGGTAAGTTA